TTTTCGTGATTATTTAATGAGGATTTTAACGCCCTTTTTGCAGTAGTTTTGGTGATTATTTTAGAAAATTATAACGCGTCAGTATGACTCAGTATTGTGAGACGGATTTTTTTTTTTGTTTTTTGGAATTTCGGTGATTGGGCTGTTTAGAAGTTTTGAAATAAGAAGCGGGAGTTTTCTTCAAGGATCTGGCAACTACTACCTGCTACCGTCTTCCCTCGAACACAACGCACCCTTATTTTGGCTGCACCTGACCGTAAAGATAGCTTGTATACAGTCGTTATCAGGGTGCGTTGTATTTGGGGGAAGACTTTAGGTAGCCTTTCTTGAAGTTTCTATGTAATTCCTTCCCGAAATTTTGTCAAATAATTTTATTATTATTATTATTTTTTTTTTCCCGACAAATGTACTTGGGACCAGGGTAACCGGCGGCCCGAACGCCCGAACGTATGGGACCCCTTGGGGATGCGTTCGGCCGTCGGACCCAAAAAAAAACAAACAAGTCATCAAAAAAATCTGAAAAAAAGATATGTTATGGAGAAAAATAAATTAAACAAGATTTGCCTCAGCATTACATCCGAGTCTCTTACCAAATTTTAAATAAAAATAAAATATGGAAAACAAATACTAATAATAAAAATAAATAAAAATAAAAAGAGAATTAAATTTGGTGAGTGCGCGAACATGTTTTCGACACCGCCATCTTTGGCGATTTTTCTTTTTTTTTTGGCATAGCTAAATGCCCTGAAAATTTACATATGTGTACTTCACATACTACAAAACCCACTAAAAAAGTTTCAAAAAATAATAAAATTGTTTAGACCCCGAACTAAAGTGAAAACAAAAAGTAAAAAGTGAAAAAATACGTGGGCGATCACATTTTGACACCGCCATCTTTGGCGATTTTTAATTCTTATTTGGCTTAGTCAAATGACTTGGAAATTTACAGGCATGTACCTCACGTCATAGAGAACTCACAAAAAACAATTCAGAAAAAAATTATTATTTTTAGGTCCCGAAATAATTTTTGGCGGAGGCCGAACGTCGGGTTCGGACCCCGTACGCGCGTACGGAGGTCCCCGGGTACGCGCGTACGGAGGTCTGCCCGGGGACCTCCGTACGTACGGGCTGGTGACCCTGCTTGGGACAGAAACCGAAATGTACCAATGGGCCTAGCTCAGCCGGTACACCCATGACCTGTTGAAACTTGAAATACATACCCAAGTTTGAATCCTGATACACGTAAATGTATGCAATGAAATTTATTTATTTCTGAGTCACCTGGGGCTGGTAGACTCAATGATGACATCTCAAGGCCGTCGCCATTCCACCCAAAAAAAAAAAAAAAAAAAAAAAAAAA